CCCCCCCCCCCCCCCCCCCCCCCCCCCCCCCCCCCCCCCCCCCCCCCCCCCCCCCCCCCCCCCCCCCCCCCGCCCCCCCCCCCCCCCCCCCGCCCCCCCCCCCAATTTTAAAAGCCGACGCTGAACCGCAGTTATTTCAGCTGAAACCATAGCAACATAGCGTAAAAGCCGACGGTCAAGCGCACAGTTAACCGGATAAAACCGCGGTTCACCGTCGGTTTTCTTCAAAAATAGACGACATGGGCGGAAGTGCACGCTATTCGATTGTGGATTTGTCGATAAAGAAAAAATACGCCTAACGAATCAATGCACTCGTAGTTCGCATGTGATAAGAAGAACTGCTGTTTGAATTGTAACGCACGATAAATCTTCTTGCACTTTAGCACTCAGAAAAAAACAGTCTGCCTTACATGATACATCTGAGGAATTCTGCGCTTCTACCCTTTTCCTCAGTGTGAATGCTATGAGAAAAGATAATCTTTACACAAAACATTAAACGTTCACGTTAAAACAAAACACACAACGGCTACTACGGATTTTTAAATGTAAGGCGATCTCATCATCATAGAACCTTAGGAACTTAGGGTTATGTTAGAATAAGGCTCACTTTAGTTCCATCACAGGAAAGTCAGGGAAATGTAGAGAAATATTTCTGTTGAACAGTTCATAGATTTTGGTTAACGGTTAGCAACCACTTGTAAGAGTCAAAAATGAAGTCAGGATGGATTTTTTTCTGGTCTATTTTTTGAAAGATTTCGTACAAATTAAAAACAAACAAGTTTGAAAGACAGATGTTTGCTGTCAAGCACCGGCTATTGTTACAAGGAAAAACGAACACTGAAAAAAAAGAAGAAGAATTGCTTGTCTATGTTAATCAATCGTTGTTGTTGTCCATTCAATCGTTTGACTAGGCTGAGCAAGCATATCCATATCGAGATCGTACACGACTAAAATCTAGAAACGAAATTCGACGAATAATTGATCCTTATTCATTAGTGGATTCGCTATTCTTGAAGTTCTATTTTGGTAGTGTGGCGTGAAACGAGGGCTAATCACATAGTCATCTAGTATTTTGCTTCAGAATCGTCAATTCACGAAGCTTCTCAAGAATAGACGTTGAATAACTTAGTAGCGATTCAAGAAACGGAAACTACTCAAACTGAACTCGATGGAATGATCAGAAATTGCGCTCCATACAGTTGGATTTTTCTCAACAATCTACCAAATCTGAGATCCAATTTCACAATTTCGACATCGGAATCTGACAAACATTTGATAGCTCGTCTCCCGTAACGTAAAGGCAGCGCACATGTGCAGGATGTTATCAAATCTGACTTTGGATTCAGCGTTCAACGGGTAAAAGTCGCGATAGTTTTCTCTTCTGAAAGCAAAAAACGCAAATCTTGTCCAGTTTATCAGCATTAGACTCATTATTCTTTAAAATATTAGCACCTAACTGTCAATCTTTCATTTCTTTAGGCTTAGAACTGTAGCTTATCAAATGACATCAAATTTTTTTTGAGAAGTGTGTTTCGTGAACAAGACTCTAGCTGGTATAATTGAGTCATTTTCGATCGCATATAGGGCTCAGAAAACTGATTCTAAAGATGAAGTCCGCTCAAAAAAATGAAATCAAAATGAGCAGAGTTATTTGCTCGATGTGATTCCAATCTTAATGTTCGAAATGATTTCAAGAATAGTTGGATGAATGATAGTGTCTTAGATCTTCTGCAGAGTCTTTTTCCTTCATATTTTCTTATACTCTTTAAGAAAAGTCGTATTCTGGGAAACTTAAAAAGAGTTTCCGGGTTTGTCACTATATGAAACACTTAAACGATTTCCTGCCCTTTCAAGCGTGATAATAAATACAACAAAATATATAAAAAAATCAAGACAAAAATAGTTAAGTTTTGTTACATATAACATAACTTGCTGCCTACAGCAGATTTCAAAATGTAGTATGACTACTTATAAGTTTTTGTTATTGTTAATCGTCTATTTTCCTTTTTTACTTCTTTTGTTTGTATTTTGCAAGATATATTCATTTTTCTCTCCAGGAACAAAACAAGATGTACTTATTCATACGAAAATGGAAGATACAAGAAGCCGAATAAAACACATATTTGAAAAGTTTTCCTGTTAACAATGAAGAACGCCCGATGAAATGATTTTGTATCTTCTATTTTCGTATGAATAAGTAACAAACAACAACAATTCGCAAAATAGCGTCATGTTTTTGAACAGTTCTGAGATTTTCAAAGCCACATTGCGACACGCATTTAGAATTCTAATTGTATGATAGATGCAAAAATGAAATAAGGTTTTCTCGAGAACGGAGAACAATTTTCGAATGTTTTCGAAAACCAATAGTTCCAGAGAAAAATTTCTCGGAGTTGAATATGATTTTTTAGAATACATCTAAGCGTTTGGGGTAGTGTGAGTATCTAAAAGGTTTACGAGCTTTTTTCAGAAACGGAGAAGGGTATCTTCGGATACTCTTTCGGTTTCTGAATCGATTTCACAGACACAAATAGTTTCAGAACATACCTTTTCGGTTCTCGAAAGCAGAATGAATAGCTGTAGGTACTCAACAAGGAACTCTTAGATTAAAGAACGTACTTGATCGGAAGTATTGTAGAAAAAGTCCTTGTGATCCTTTCCATTCACAGTCACACTCGTCGTCGCTTTGCTAACATTGAGGATTCGAACAACTTCCAAAAGCATCGGTGAATCTTTGTAATTTGCTACGACTGCCATGATGTTCAATGTATTCTATTAAATAGTGAACGTCTAACATACAGTTTCTCTTTCAATCGTTCCACTCACCGGAACGAGTGAAAATTCAAAGTAGTTGTAGGTTTTTGTTTCGATCGAATCTTAATAAGAAAGAAAAAATGACTATGACTAATGTTGTTACCAATAATATGCTCACCAATGGAGTCACCGTCATCCCAAAACAGATTTCCAGTCGCATTTCCCAATGCTGATTGAGCGACAAGTAATGTAAACGGATTTCCACGACCAATGATCAGATTGGCTCCAGGCATTTGCATCGGAATGATAAAGCCACCTCGAACGTGGACATTAATCTTTTCCAAAGGAGCATCGAGATCAGTAAATACACCGACAACTTTCACTCTGACACCCGAGGGAAACTGATACCAAACATCTTGCGGAATATAAGCACGCACCGTAGTTGCTCGCTAGAAAATTTAGAGAAAGTAAAGCAAAAAGTATGGAGCATACTCTCCGCATCGATACTTACTGAAACAAGATTTGGTGAGACGAGAATGGCCCGACCAATTAGAAATTGTTGGTCGATACCGAGTGTTTTGTCGTCATTGGAAAATCTAGGAGAGTCACATAGTTTGAAAAAGGACGCAGATTCATAAATATCGTACTCGAAATGGAGTGGCTGCACTAGAGTTCTTGATGCTATAGCAGCTTGATGATGAAGAGTGTACCAGAATGGAGCCAGTGAATATCGCATTAGCAATGCTTGTTTCATGATTTGTTGAGTTGTCCGAGAGAATGCAGCAGGATCTTGAGCCTACTTTTTGCAGATAGAGATCAATAAACGGTGTTATTCTGATTCAGAATGTACCTTCTGAGCATGAGAATTGTGATTCCTCATAAAAGGATAGAATGCACCCAGTTGCATCCATCGTGTACACAATTCTTCAGTTGTATCAAGTTCGAAACCACAAATATCGGCACCGACATTGGGCATACCGAACATGTTGAAACTGAGAATGGCTGAAATATAGAGAAAGAATAGACATGAGCATCCTTTTCTGTCCAGAAGTCTTCCAACAGTTCTATACAAATAGATGCTCCTGATTCTACATCCTCCTGAGGATGACTTCATCGATGCTTAGAATCTACGGACAATACTGTAATTAAAGGTGAGTGTTCCAGAATAAACCAAAATAAGAATCCGATTACTAAGCGGAAATGATTGTTCTTGCTGAATAACATTATTACTTATTTTGCAGATGAGACGTGATCTACGATTCTGAGCGCACGGTTGCTCGGCTTCAATACGAAGTAGATCAAAATATCCAGGGTAAAAAAGACTTTCAAGGGATTGTAGGAGCGGATTCACTTTTCAAATATATAAATATATATTAAACTCGGACTCTCCACAATGGGTTACTTTCATACAGCTGATTTTTCTAATAATTTATCTTTAGATCGAAACTAGTCTGGCACAGCTCTAATGTTGACTAATGAAAGTTCACTTTACGGGGTCCTCCTATCCGAGGTATTTCAAGCACAGTAAGACTAAAATTTGTGAACTTTCAGGGCAGATAGATCTCGATTAGTGGAGCAGAAGTCCTGCTAGGTTCAAAGCTCCTGGACGTTTTCTATCCATGGATGTAAGAAGCGCAAGGGCAAAAAATACCCTGCAAGTTTTCCTCCCTTTTCTCCTCCCCACTACGATCGACTGAGCTGAACATTGTTTGTGACAACTAGAGCAAGATTGGACTGCGTGTTTTTTACTTTGAAAAATATGGTGTCGTCCGCTCAGGAGAATAAAAACACTGGAAGTACCGACAAAAACAATTTTCTTTAGTGGCTTTTTTGTAATGCCTATCAAAATTCACCATAGGAATACTTTTCTGAGAAAAAAACACGAATATAGACAAAGCAAGTAACAAAAGAAATTCGTTCGCTTGTGTGTTTATAATTTCAAAGTTAATCCGTAATCGGTTAACCCAATTTCCATTCTTCTACAAACATATTTTCTTATATACTTGCATGAGGATACTGCAACCTCACTCAGTTGACATCTTGATTAGGGATGTCAGTGTTCCTATTCCTAACAGTTTCTGTTTCCAAGAAACAGTAACACACTTCAAAATTATTTGTAAGACATTTTCTGCACGCTGATGATTTCAGAATCGTTAGCCCAATCTTCTCTGAAGAATTTGAATTGTGTTCTATGTTCCTGGCAACAGAGACTACAAATTAGCAGCCCTAATTCTAATAGCTTTTTTGCTAAAATCGGGACAAACGGGATACGACGGGATTTTTGACAAAAAATTTGAGACGGAACAAACGGGATTCGGGACACGGAAAAGTTTGTCCGACAGGACACTAGCTCGTCTCTCATAGTTTCACAAATGAAAGGAAAACTCTATGGACTAAAGCAGGGATACATCCTCTTCCACCCACACATTGTTAATACGCACCGGGAATTGAAAAGTACATATCTTCGTGTGTCGCGCGATTATCACCCGTCCAATGAGCGGTATATTGACCGGAACCGGAAAATGACGAACGAGACAAAACAAATGGTCGTTTCTGACGAATTGTTTTCAGTGCACTAAAATGTGTAACAAGTCATTTCTTTTCAAAAGTCTATAGTCAAGCATTTACAGATTTGTCGCTTTTGCTTCGAAATAACCGTACATATTGTGCAAATTATAATGGGAGGAAAGCGCATGTTGTGCAGATGGACATAGTGTTCTTGCACTGAGGGAATCGCCCAATACATCTTTGAAAGTACTTCATAATTGTTAGTACGATTCTTTTTTCAAAGCGGCTTACTTGGAACAAATGGAGGTTTATCTAACGAATTATCCGTACAACCATCGTGAGAACCATCAACGAAATTTGATGGTTCATTCATATCCTAGAAAGATACCTAGATGTATTGTTTACGACTGAAATTTTCTACAAACTGAAAAAGTTTCATGACTACGTACAATCCAAATGCCGTCGAACGGAACTGTATCATGAAATGTAGCAGCAATGTTCGTCCACCATTCAACGGCGTTCGCATTGGTAAAGTCTGGGAATACTGTCAGCCCTAGACGGGAAATGACGGCGAGGATCAATCGACCGTGTTCAACGACGATTCTTACCTGGCCAAACCTAGAATATATACACATATATTGAGATACTGTTGTATCGACATGAATAAAAGAATACTTTTCCAGTAATTGGTTCAGTTGAATTGAATTTAGTCATGAAAATCGCTCTTTTCAAACCATCATCGTACGCTGGATAGGTACCCGACGGTTGTGTTGAACTGATACCCGGATCGATGATATTAATATAGTGTTTACTCTCGGACTGCAGCGAACGAACAAGATCTGGAAGACCATTGAAATTTGTTTGATCATAGGTAAAATCAAGATGAGATGCCATTGCATCAATATCTGTCCATTGAACATCGTATGGAAATTCGGCATCACGCATTCGCTAACGAAATGTATAAGTGAAATTAACAACTTTTTGTCTTCATTTTCATTATAGTACCTGAATGACGGCTCTCAAATTGTCGATATTATTATATCCCCAGCGGCACAGATGAAAACCAAGAGACCAGTAAGGTGGCATTGTAGGTTTCTAAAAATTCAGCAAAATAAACGAAATAAAACAATCTCCTGCTTTTTTACCCCGATCACATCCCAATATTGCTGAATGACATCTTGTGTTGTGGGTCCAGTAAACAAATACAAATCAATGATACCTCCAATTGTCGTATAAGTAATGGCAGGTAATGGTTGAAGATCAACATCCATCGCATTCGAATTGAGAAAAAATTGTCCATGAAAATTGGTTAGCGTATTGTTTTTCATTTCCACATTGATGTGAAATGGATGAACACCTGACGACAACATCAATCGAGTATGTATCATAAAATATTCATTAACTAAGAAATGTCTAGTTTGAATGAATACTTACCGTACCCATTAACGTGCTGAACTGGAAGAAAATCACGAGTCCAAAATGTTAGTTTTCTCCATTCATTTGTGACATTGATCAACAGTGGTTGCCGATGTTCACCAAGACCATAAAGAAATGGACCGGAAAGATGGCTTGAAAATTTGATGAATTGATCGGCATAGATGAGCGGTGATACACTGGAATCGAATCTAAACCAGAACACATACAATTATCCTTAAATAATGCAAAAAAAAACTTTGTACTGCTCAGAAGAATGGCCCTCGTGCCACAAACAACTACCCTTCGAACAGTTTTTTTCGGGCGAAGAGATAAATGAAAAATATACTCACAATGTCACACCGGTTGATTTCCGTTTGACAAGAATGGCAAATGGTGCTTGACTGAGTGAAACTTCATAATCAGTGGCATTAACTTTTGTTTTAACGACAGGCACTTGAAGTGGGACTTCGAAACGTTTCTTCTTTGAATCATAAATTCGTAGGCGAAATCGTTGTGCGGTTTCGTAGAGAAGGTCAACTGTCAAATTCAGAATTTCGTCCGGCATATAGGTCGACTGTAGTTTCACAATTGTTAGCCGTTGGCCAAAATCAGTTGATTCATTAGTCTGTATTTGATATGTTGGAAAATCTCGTGGATAGTAACACCAAGGCACGTTCACTTCAAAAGAATTAGTCGAGTAGTTTTTGGGCGACTGAATCATTGGTGGGAAGACCGGTTTCCAGCAACAGTTACGAGCCAGGCATTTTTTTGATGATACAAATGGTTCAGGATGACAATTGAAGCGTGCCGTTTCCACAGGTTGATCGCATTGTTGTGCAGATGCGGACCAGACGAAAAATAGCATCACAAGCCATTTCACCGCGGAGAAATGTGCCATTAGATGGACGCTTCTATCTAGAAGGAACAGGACACCACCAAAAACTTCATTATCAAACAAATACTCTACACAGAATAAGAACGAGATTATTCGATTGATAATACTCATACACATACACCGACAAGAGATAGGCATACGGAAACCGGTTAATGCTGTCAAGAATGCGAAAAAAAGCGGTGGAATATCAGAAGGAGATAGAGGGATGACCATTAAAAGTGAGGCTAATTCATTCGTCACCAGAACTGATCAGTGCTATCTTTTGTTCATTTGTCTTATGTCACATTTATGTCGGAAAGAGATAAAGGAGAATTTCGTCGAAGAATCATGTAAGATATTAACATTGAAAAGAATCAATTATAAGTTCACTTTTTTCATCTTTACGAATAAAATGATGACAACCGAATATCAAGTAGATAGGAATGAGTAAATCGTGGCTGATATTATGAATTTCATCACTAGCTTTAACAAGAATACTTTCTAGATCTTCGTTTCTGTAGCCAATCACTTCAGCGCATAATCTTATTTCAAGTTTTTGAAGATGTCCCCTAAATGCAAGAATCACCTCTTTTATAACATTCACTCCGAAAGTGGCCAAACGGAAAATGATAACATGTCCGTAAATATAGGCGTCGTACACGTTATACCATTCTGTATAACTGCTCCAGAAATGATGATCGGCATCGAGGTGTTCCAAAGGTGATGCAGCGCAATGAGACCATCTCAGGTAACCGGCCAGTTCAACGAGTTTACTAATGACTTGTGTGGTTAACAACTGACTGATAGCACCGCCACGGGAATGCCCGGTAAAAATTATTTTCCATCCTCGACACGCCCAATTTGTTATCGCTAACAGCGGGCCTGATTCGGCCAGTTTGGCAAATCTTGAATGTCGATCGCAAGATACACTTGATGATCTGAGTGGATACCCATATCTGTAAAAACGTATTGAATAGACTTGGATGAAAACAGTCGCACGAAATACAGGAATAATTACTTTTTGTTCGTCTTGACGCGCAAACCAATAGCGGATGGTGGTCAGCTGGAAAAACATGCGCATCTAAGAACATTAATTTAAATTCTCCACGAAACAATGTTTGATACTGATTAATTTTCTCCTCAATATAATCAAATTTTGAACCAATACCGTCGACTTCATACATGTCGTGTAACCACCAACATAGGCGAATCAATAGTCTTGTCCAACTGTACCTTCAGCAGTCGAATGAAAACTTGTTGTGAAATTACATGAAATATGAGGAAACTGTTTGTTTTCATCCATTGATTCAGCCACTAAACTAAAAATAAAATAAACTGAAAATACAGTTGTGACAGAAAGTATTCGTACCACCAGTTTTTTTACTTTTGCTCAGTCATTTAAAAGTTTTGTACTTCCAAATATATCAAAAGAAAGCTCTATCTAATCTAAAATTAACTCATGTCTCCGCAAATGCAAATGTGTTAAAAAATCGAATAATATCTCATTCTGAAGGGCAAGACACGGACTACATTTTGGTAAAAACATAATTTTGAAAAGCTTTTTCCTTAGGGTGAAAACGCGACCTTAAGCCAAAAGTGCCATACTCTTCAGTGTGGCTCTCCATCTCAGGTATGGGTGACTGAAAAAAATTCTGATTAAGCCATTCGAAAGAGCGTCCAAAACTGAGTAAGATAAATATAGTGTGGAAGTGAAGTGAGAGAATTTGACCCATCTTTTAATATTTTAGATCTTGAGGCTATTTTTGAAGTATCTTTTCTGCACGAGAGGATAAACATTTTTTGAATATCTTTGCGTCAAAACCGCCTTCCCACCCATAAAAAATATTTTTCATCAAAAATTAACGTCATATTCGTGCTCAGCGTCAAAAACCGCGTTTAGTCATGTGTCACTCGAAATTTCGCTAAACTTCTGCTTTCATTTAAAAATAACATCTAAAGACATTGTTTTTGTGATAGATACTAAACACCTGACAGTGGAACAAAGGCAATTTTGACAAGCAAATTTCGAGTGACACATCACTAAACGCAGTTTTTGACGCTGAGCATGAATATGACGTTAATTTTTGATGAAAAATATTTTTTATGGGTGGGAAGGCGGTTTTGATGTTCGGAAACCCGTTTTTCC